AAACAAACATTTATTTGATTATTGGTTAATCAAATTTATCACATTTTAATGTATGCACTGGTTAAATTGGCGGTACGTACAATTTATTGTATCGGTAAACACTCTGTTTAACACAATTTTTGTTTTTGGGTTCTAATCATTATCATTTTCCAATTGGATACACCCCAAAATGCAATAAAAATGTCCTTATTAGGTTTTAATTTTGTTTTTGAGAAATTGAAGGTGTTTCGCCAAAAATCGTTATTTTTGTGGAGAACTGTAATATGAAAGTTCTTGAAACTTTCATTAACAACATAGTCACACACATTCCAAATTACTTTTTGATAACCAAAAATACTTAAAATTAGTCAAAAAATTATATTTTTTGAAATTTTCAACTATAGTCCAAGTAATTTTTACGTTTATTTATTGTACATTCATTGGTAATGAACAATCACAATCCGATTATGCCTCGACAGCGTGTGAAAAGGCCAATTTTTGAATGTGACATTGACATCATATTTTACTGGGACTAGTTGCAAGGCCCCACTATATGTCGCTTTCACCAGGTGTGCATGATGTGATTATTGGACACGTTTAGTGGACATAACGATCGTTTTGTTGTTATGTTGTTCTTGTTCTTGTTGTTCTTTGAAAGTTTTTGGACACCTAGTGAAAATATTAAAAAACCGCTTTTCTCTTTGATCACTGGACCAATTGCTTTGAAATTTTTAGTGGTTGAAGATGAAATTTTTTCCAGGAGGCTATTACTTTTATTTAATTCAAATATTTCTGTTAGCTTTGTGAGATTTGTTTTTGTTTGCTATGACGTCACCGAAAGTTCTGCGGATATCGGACGCCATTTTGTGTCCTAATGTACTGCTTCGCTTGGTGTGAATATATTTGTAGACTGTGATCTGACGGTACGGTAACCGGTAATCAAATATTTCTGTCGCCACTGTAAATCATGACATTTTGCTTTGGCAATATGTCTCATCATGGAATCCGAGGTTTACTTCTCAAGTTATTGCATCCATGCCTAAGTGAAAGACAATAACATTGAATGCATTGATTGTATGACTTCTCTTGAAAATATAACATATGGCGTTCTACAGGGAAACACTCTTGGACCTCTCCTATTTTTAATCTATATCAATGACCAACAGAAACCAGGCGCAGGCGATATTGGGCTTATTGATTCTGCTACACGCTCTGAAAAACTGCGGATTTAAATCAATAAAAACAATTGAGATGGTCAACCTTTAGGTGAAAATTATTAAATTATCTTTGAACCATGCAAAAACTAAATTCATGGTTTTCGGTTCAAGGCAAACTTATTCGTAGTTTCAAAAACCGATAAGACCTAGTCTGAATTTTAAATTTTTCAATAAAAGCCATCCTCTTAACAATAAGACCTAGTGGATGGTGTTATTTTTTGAAAGAAAAATTGTAATAAGACCCTGTCTTATTTTTGGGGAAACACGGCATAAGACGGGGGCGGGAAAGGTTTTTGGATCAACGGACTACAATTTTGCACATCTAGACTGACGGGCTATGTAATGTGCCGTAATAGGTTACATTTTATGAATATGAAGTGTTACAAAAGCATGAACGTGGAAAACAATAAACCTCGTGCCAAAACTAAATTTAATCGCATTCTCAACAAATTCCTTGAGCTATTTTAGCCGAAACACCAAAATTTGGCTGTGGTAACATCAGACGGGCCGACTGATTTACCCAATGGACCGGATTTGACCAGCGGGCCGTAGTTTGCCCCTGTCAGGTATAAGACAATAAAAAAGAAATAAAAAAGAACAAAATGTAATAAAGGAGGTTATCCAGGAAAAATTTTGGAATAAATTTAAATATTTATACTTTTTTATAGTCTTAGTCGCTTACTATACTTAGTTAAGTCGACTTTGTTTTCTACTTGTATTTTTAAAAACGGCATCAACAAAAATCGACTGCAGTTCGGAAACGGGCTCTGATGATGTAGCTTACTGCTCGTCCACCAACTTATATTTACGATTACGGTGCTTAATATCTGTTTTCTGCACTTAATGCTAGTCCCTTGTTGTACAGTCCCACCATAGAGGTTAAACAATAATACATATGCGTATGAAGCCCAGACAGTCAGACAATCAAGCAACGACGTTTTACGGGATAATGAACGTACCGATACTGACAGTCCGGCAATATGCCTTAAAGAACTGATTCTAAAATCAGTTTTCACCACTTTATTTTGTTTCTCTGCTGTTTAATATTTAGATGGGCGACGGAATAATAATAAGGAAATTTATGATTCAATTTTGAAACCCATTTTAGATTAATTCAAATGATAAAAAAATGGAGCTAGCTTATTTCCCTACAGTGTACTTTTATAAATATGTAATTATTTACTATTCAAATTATAGTCGAGCGTGAATAAATTTTTTTTGTATTCGTTCCAAGTTTTTGATTTTTAAATGTTGACTTGTAAAACAAAGGACACAGAATTTCAATTTGCATTTTTGTATTATTTATATGTTTAGATGTTTAATTTAGTTTTAGAAGTTTTTTAACAAAAACCGGAAGGAACCTTTGTCTACTTTAATGTATTAGAAGATCAAATATACGTGATCTGATGAAATAATATAGGATGATTTACGCACACACACTGGGTCACAACTTTACGTAGTTTTGAAACTTTTCATTGTCAATGGACGTAAACATAGATTTCCAACAATTACGTATTTCCCCGCTGCCATAAAGACTTGGGTGATATTTGCATATTTGACTTAAGTTAAAAAGATATTTGAATACTAACTGTGATTTCCAACTAATGCGAAGCAACGAGATTTCATAATATCTATGTATAACAATATTACTAGCAATGACAACTCGTTGAAAATGTTCACTTTTATGCGACGTTCATTGATAAGTCGTACGTATGCTTTATTGGGTTTCTAAACCATAGGGGTGTTTTAGTTTGCTTGCATAAGAATCGAGGCGGAACATAGTAAACACGTTCGATTCGTCACCGATGGAGCGATGTTACGTGTACGTTCAAAATAACCGTTTGGGGTTTTCCACTTCTAAACTTGTAAAATGGTTCGTTCTTTTCTGTTGATATGTTTATCAATATAACAAATTATACTAAAAAAGTTTCAGGCGCATAGTTGTTGTAAACATTGAATGCCCACTTAGTTTACCAACTCTTTAACCTTGATCGACGGTAAAGTCTATAATACTGGTCAATCTTTGAGTATTATTTATAACACTACTAGAATAAGCATGTTACGGACCCTAATTGGAGTGATCGTGGTATATGACAAAAATTTAACCTTGATTATCCAGCGACATTTTGGCGTAAAGATATAATAGTTTTCTTTAGTATAATAGTAAATTTAACAATAATCAATTTCTTGGAATAAATTTTATTCTTTTTATACTTTGTTGTAATGCAGTTTTGCTGTCATTTTAAAGCTATCGTCCATGTGAAAAAATGACATTTGTTACAATATATCCGTTTTTATTAATATTAAACCAAAAGTGTGAGAATGTAATATATTGATAACAACATTCTAAAATAATTTAAGAAAGAAAAATTAAAAAACAAACTGAAATTGAACAAAACAAAATTTTAATTTGTAACAAATTTCTATAAGACGTGTCTGTATTATTGAAAATTATGATTTACATTTTATCTTTATTTCTATATTATTTATATCTTCTTGCTTTAATAAAAAATTTCAAATTTTTAATATTAACCTTGTAGTTTTTTTTTGAAATTTGAATTAAATGACTTGAATTAAATTTTAAATTTGTTATTTCATTTGTTCCTTTTTAAATGTGTACATTCATGTTTTATTCCGACATGTTACAGTCTATCATTCATTTTTTAAAACCTATTTTAGAAGCAAAGGGCTTACTAGCTTTATTCTATGAAAAATATGCGAAATTTATTTTACACAATTTGATGAAAAACACAAAAATCTGTTTATTGGAATTCGAATGTATTATTTCTAATTCTGCGCGACAGACATCTACAAGTCACCTTGTACAAATTACGAATTTCGCCAATGTCACAGAAACTTTTCCTATTTTCCTATAATAACATAATTGTTATGTACTATTTGAAATTTCCATCACCTAAAAAGCAACGAAACTTTGTAATATCTATATATTACAATATGATTAGCAAGTAAAATTCAGATTCAATTTCAGATACTCCTTACAATAAATTGTGTTTCTAAACATTGGTATTTTAGTTTGCATGAGCATTGAAGCCAAACTTTGTAAAAACCTCCGACTCGTCACCGATGAAAATACGTTATACGTACCTCAATAATACCCTCTTGGGTTTTTCCCTGATATAAACTTTTTAGGTCATGGAAATGTCATGATTTTTTCCCTTTCAAAAAAAACTTCAAACCAAAGATTTTTTAATATACAATTTTTTGAAATTAAGAGGTTTCTATCACTTTTCATTAACATTGGGTATTATATCAATAATGTTAAATAATGAAAAATTTGTGCTTTCTGATGTTTTTTGAATGTGTTTTGTGAATGCGCAGTGTTACAACAATAAATTGAATTTTGTTTCATTAATAAAGACGTGAAATTATAATTAAAAATAAAATATTATAATATATTTCATTGGGTACTATTTTAAATGTATTCTTTCCAGGCTTGTGCGTAAAATCAAGTTTGGAAACTTCCCTAAAGCGGTTTATAATACTGTTCTGACGTGTCAGTTGCCGACGCAACGCTATAGTTCTCGTTTGTGTTATCATGAAGTTGTCAAATTCATTTGTTCAATTTAAGTAAATTAAATACCCTCACGTATACAGAGAGAAAGTGAAGAAGTTACAATATAATTACTAAATATTGGGGGATTGTGAGATTTGTATTTTCCTGAACAGAAACTAGAGAACCTTTCAAACTATTGAAAAATTTTTGTATAATCATTTTTTCAAATATTGTCATAACGTGTTAGTAAGATCAGATTCTAAATATAGTCAACTGAATTATATCCAATCAGTATATAAAAGCGATGGATTCACTGGAAATTTCAAATACTCAAGTTTAAAAATCTGTTCAACTTTTAAAGTATCGTATATTTAGGTATACTGCAATCCAAAGATTTAAAAACCAAAAGATGTTGTCTCTCAAATCGGTATATTTTTTTTTTATATTTGTGTTTTAATTTGTCTTGTTTGGCTTTAGTTTTGAAACAATCAATTTATGTTTTTTAGATTCATGAATATCAACTCGTCATCGTCGTCTTACTCCTGATCCAAAGTTTCGTTGCAAAAGGAGTCGGATTCAGATTTAAGTAAGTCCTAGAGAATACGAAAATAAGAGTACAGAATCGCAAAAGATAGTTGATGTTACGTTGCATAATCCAATACTAGTAAATCAGTACAAAATGAGAAATAAGGACATTTAAATAAAATGTAAGCGCTTCCTTTTGTAGTGACTTTGATAGACATCTAAAAGTCAAATATTATTTTTGTTAATGATCTAATTAATATCCTGAACAAGTACAAATTGATATTCATATATATCTATTTTATTGGCAGCTCACAGGAAGCGCGAGACCACAACTGCAAAGCGGTTATCGGAAGTGAGATGTCAGTGGATTTAAACGGGTTCGAACCACATCATTCGGTTAAAGTTAATTGCACCAACCCAGAACTGCGCTCATCCTTTACTTTTGTAACAGTCATTTGTTTACCGATATGTAGAGATCCAATCACAAACGAAGTATTTTTAAAAGAAGAAGGTAATCGTGCTTATTATATTGAAGAAATAACGACGGTAAAAAAATTTCAAAACAACATTCGAATGCCTATCACACTTGGATGCCGATGCGTTTTGAAGAGCACTGTTTTCTAATGGAGACAAAATTCGGATATGAAATATGACTTACTTCTATTGTTGACAGGATTAGTCGAATTTTTTGTGACATTTAGTATGCTTCGAATTTTTGAGGTCTGTTTCTAAACAATATTTATTAAATTTCTTATTGTATTTTCGTAACCAAATCCAACTTCAATTATTCCGCTTATATTAATCAATGCGTATTTATTTAGGAAATGATATATAAGTTTATATCATTAATTTCAAATATTGTCAAAATTGTGTTCTTTTAAACACCTATTTTTCAATTTTAGTTTTAAATAAATTATTTGCATGTGTGATATTGTACGTTGTTGTAAGTTTCGTTGAGAAAATAACAATGTATTTGATTATAATGTTTTTATAAATCATCTTTGACATATTTTTTGTATAAAATACCTTGTCATACCTCTTACAGTGTTTGCCTTGTGTCAAGTGTGTTGAGAGTATAGCGTTAATTGATTTGGTATCGCAGTATTTTACTCAAGATGATATTTTTTATTCGTTTGAATATAGGAAAATTCATAGGAAACATATATATGGTCTGGGTATGTTAAAATCTATTTCACAACGTAGCCTGCCCTTCTATTCATTTGTTATCCAATCAGAAATAATACAATTCGAAATTCAATATAAATTGATTGAAACTCAATGTTCACCGGTATGATTTTCTAAAATATTCAAGTATATACTATGCAAATTGAAATTGACTGAGTTAGATTTGTATAAAATTGGAAACAGTTAAATAACAACGGGCACGTAATCCCAACCGGTGTTGTTTCATTATGTAAAAGTCTAGATATTTAGTTTAGTTTTAAAAACTTTCAAACCGAAAGCAAGAGGAGCTCTGTCTATATACACGTATAATTAAAAATTTTAATATAAATGATCTGATAAAATAGCAAGCATATTGACGCACACACATTAATCTATTGTATTTCACTGTTGACATGGAAAGTTTTTTCATCCCCTAAGCTGTTTTGGCTTTGTTAATAAAATTACAAGTAAAACCCGTCATTTTCTTCTAATAAAACGCAACGAAATTTCATAATAGCTATATATAACAATATGACTAGAAAAGAAGAATTCAGTAAATAATAAGCACGTACGCTTTATTGTGTCTCTAAACATTGAAGTATTTTAGTTTACATAAGCACAAAACCGAACTTGGCAAACACGTTTGATTATTCACCTATGAACATACTTTATGCACATGTTTAAAATATCGGTTTGGGGTATTTTTTTTTCAAACTTGCTAAATTAATGGTTCCCAAACTTTTCCTCTCAAAGTGCACTTAAAAAAACAAATATTATTTGGTGCACTTCAAACATTTGAGTGTCAACATTTTCGAAATTTAAATGTAAAACATTTTTAATTCGAATGTTTATAAATTACTACACTACAACTTCTTTATTTTAGCACTTCAATTTCAAAAATGATACACGCCATAGGTTTACTAGACTTTCATTCGGGGAATTTGTTCACGCATGAATGAATATCCTTGGAGTGACAAAAGGGTATCAAATCCTAACCCTATGAAGAGATAAATTTAGGCCGTTCAAAATGGCGGTTCGGAATTTGTGAATCGCAAAACTGGTTTAAATTCTCCACTGATTAGATTTATTTCATGGTTAAACCAGAATAAATTCGTGGTGGAGGTTCTAACAGGACTCGTTTGAAACCGAAAATTTCAACATTTTATATCGTCGTTACAGAATTCCGAATCTTGAAATCGTTAATAATAGTATTATTTTAACTCAACATTCGGGTGGTTCAAGTTTGGAACAAAAATATGTCGGTCAGTCGCCACAAGATATATAAAAAGGTTAAATTGGCGATTTACAACACTGCTTTTCAGTCAATAATTAGCAAACACATCACTTAATAATTGATTCTAAATTAAAATTTTCAGTTTCTGCAAGTGATTTTCTCTTTTTTTGAATTATGCATTCTCAAACTGTTTCAGATGGTTGTTATTAACTTATTTTATTCTTACAAAGTGTGACATGCTTCTAGAGTTGGACTCTTAGCATAATGTTATTATTGCTGTATTCTTTTCCTCTGATGGTTTCGGCGTAGTGAAAAAGGCCAAATGGTGTTTCCAAAAGGTCTTGGAAGTTTTTGTTGATGAGGCATGTTTTTATATTTGGTTAGAAGCGTACTTTTGTCCAATGATAAATGGAAATATTGCATTCTTACAAAGTATGGCATGCTTCAAGACTCTTAGCGCAATGTTACTTCACGCATATATTGTAACAGACGTTATTGCTTTTTTTATACAATTTGTTTAGGAGTTCACGACTTAGATCAAGTGAAGCAAGCACTGAAAGAACAAACGTTTTAGCGAGTTTGGAAAAGGAAAACCCCAAGCGGGTATTTTTAACGAACACCTAACTTATGTTCAGCGGTGACGAATCGGGCTTGTTTACTAAGTTAGGCTTCGATGCATATGCAAACTAATATCTCAATGTTTAGTGACCCGGTTACGCGTAACTGCTTCATATTCGATGAACATCATTTAAATGCGGATATTTTAATTAGATCTTCTTTTCCAATCATGTTGTTATATATATATATATATTATGAAATCTCGTGCTTTTTATTTGGTGGAAATCACAGGCAGTACTCAGCATGTTGACATATGTCAAATATGCAAATATCACCCACGCAATGAGGAAAAGTTTTTATGACATTTTCAAATACGTAATCCCTAGCAAACAATTTTCATGCACAATGTCAATAAATAGTTTGAACTTTGCGACATTGTGTGTGAGCGCCTGGCGTTCTTTGCAAATTCTCAAGCTTTCAATATCATACGAATTTAACAGGAGTTGATGAATAGCAAACTATAATTTGAATATTATACAACAGTATATTATTTTTTATTACACAATAATTACACTAGTGAGTATTCGGCTCCAATCCATCGAAATTTATTTAAAATTCTTCTTGTTGCAACAAAAACATAGGTACGTTCTCGATGAAACATTACAAACGTTAACTATTACAAATATAAATCATTAAGTAGCCTACAATTTGAAAACGGAATGTTGAAAAGAACAGTGTGAAAAAAATTAGTTATTTCACAAAAAAAAAACAGCCAAATGAAACTTTGGAAAATTTTAATTTTACAAATATAAATAATTTGAAACAAGTAAAATTTGACAACTCGATGTTGAGAGGAACAGTGTAAAATAAATTAGTTGAGTCACAAAAATAAAATAACCAGCTGGATAAATGGTTACTTTCTCAATGAAACTTTTGACAGCGTTTATTATTATAAATATAAATAATTTAAAACAAGTGAAATTTGAAAACTCAATGTTAAAAAAAAAAAATTTTCATAATATTTGAAATAAATAATATAGAGATGTAAACTCTTTTGAAGATGAAAATTCATGAATATCTGTTTCTATGTTCCATCTCAAGTCATTGAATTCGATTCGTTTCCAAAAATGCAGTAGGAAATTTAAATAAATAATATATATTTAGAGTCAAACGAAAAAATTTAGTCAATGTCACAATAATCAATGTCACGAATATCCGATTCAGGCAGTCGGCAATAGCAGTGGGTCAGTTTTTATCTTCTTATTGTTGTCTACATTAATAAACAGTGCTCTTTAAAACGCATCGGCATCCAAGTGTGATAGGCATACGAATGTTGTTTTGAAATTTCTTCACCGTCGTTATTTCTTCAATATGATAAGCACGATTGCCTTCTTCTTTCAAAAATACTTCGTTTGTGATTGGATCTCTACATATTGGTAAACAAATAACTGTTGTGAAGGTAAAAGACGATCGCAGTTCTGCGTTCCGGCAATGAACTGTGACCGAATGATATGGCTCGAAGCTGTCTAATTCCACTGGCATCTCACTTCCGATTACTGCTTTACAGTTGTGGTCACGCGCTTCCTGTGAGCTGCCAATAAAAGTGAAAAATACATTACATTCCAATATTAATGTGTATTTGTTTGTGTTTATTAATTAAAGCAATAAAGATCATGAGGTATTTGATTGTTATCTGGTATTCAAGGTCAATTTTAAGGGGAAGCGTTTAATTTTTATTATCAATTTCCTATTTTACATTTTGTCCAAATGACGTTAAATCAACTGTTTTCAGAGTTCTGGAATCTCAAGAGAGAATCTCAGGATGATTATCCCCTTCTCACAAACTATCCCAAATCTCACATACTCACTCAAATCTAAACCCGGCTGATTTTACAATCAAACTTTGGACCAAAATTAATGAGGCCATGACCAGTAGATGATTTTGAATCTGAATCTGAAAAATCAATGAATTGTTTTAAAAGAAAATAAAAACATCAAAGCAAAACAATTTAAAAAACTAAAAATGATAAAGATTACATACCAATTTAAGACCCACCATCTTACTAATTGCAAATCTTCTGATAGCAATATATTAAAATCAATTATAAATATATATGTATATATAAAATGTCATACAAGTTGTACGAGTCTTCTTGGGTGAGTAATTAATATTTCTAGGGATGCAACGCTCTTATATACGAATTTCTTAATGTTTACTTAACCATATTTGAAGTATGATCTAATTCTAACCAACAAAATATGAAAATTATTGATAGAAAAGTATGGCATAATTATCTGTGGATAAGTTCGTCAAGTTTCCACTTAGGGGAAGTTAAAAGGTTGTGATTTCCTTTTATTTATATTTTCTTTTAAAAGTCTGTGATTTTCTCTTTGTATACGTGAATGTATTTATATTTCACTTGAGTAAATAATACAATGAGTAACAATTTATTGTTACGTAATATGGAACTTTCGTCGTATGTAATGTTTTAGAACATGGTCGTAAATTATAATAGATTAAAATTGTAATCATTTTTTAATGAAAATATCGGTATTTCCTCGGTTGGTTTCGCCTAGCAAAATGGTAAATCCCGAACTAAACAATAACTGAAGAAATGACAAAAGCATTGAAAAGTTCAAATACGATTTTGATAAGATTTTAGATGTTTTTGCTAAATGGGAATCGGTTCGTGACTTTCGGTCAACGCGACAGTTGCAGTCTTACGTAGTTTGAAACTCTCTTATTGTCAGTAGACGTAAATGACGCTTTGAAACAGTCGGAACTAGATTTACAAGATTATACAATTATATTTTCTTTTACTTTTCCTATTGATAATTGAAACTTTTCTTATATTTAATAGTTTTTGGTTCGATGTCAAGTTTATCTAAAATCGGTATTTTGATTATTTCGATCGGTATTCATAACTAGACCCTTTATAATTATCCCTAAAATTTCATTCTGTAGTTATAGTTTTTATTCTACCGTCAACTACTGGATAAAAAAATAAATGAACGAATTACTAAAAATTCGTCACCGCAACGCCCACATCTGTTTCATTGTTCCAATCGTTTGTTATTTTGGCCAAAGTATAGAATGGGAATAATTTCTCAACGAATTGCAAAATGGCGTCAGACATTCCTGTCGCCTCTTTACTTCTGCAAAGCTATTGTCACATAAACTTTCTACTCATATTTTATTTCTATGAAAGTGGGATTTTATAAAA